GACCACCAGTGATAACCGTCATATGGTCTATGAAACTGTACATTTACAGACCGTTTGACCACCAAATCTCACGACCGCTCGTCAGTTGAGGTGAATGATTTTCCATTTTACTAATTATGGTCATGGAAACTATTTCCAAGTCACCCCTCAGTCAAGTTGGAAATATCTCGTTTCAAGTAGTAATTACGGATTTATCTAATTACTTCGTACTTACATTATACTTTGATTGGACTCACTTAGAATTATTTTTGTCATTTTGATATGTATTTTTGATAACTAATAAACAAGAAAAGAAATTATCTAATACATTATCAGTTAAATACTTCAATCAACAAAACAAGAACAAAGTGAGAAAACTCACTATCTGTAACGAAAATTAAGTAACACTGTTGAGTTGTTTAATTGAATTCTTGTCTCGTACTACCTATCCTTCAAAACCTAGAAACAGTCTCTCTAATAAAACTTGTGTCGTGATATATTTTTTTTTATATATCCGACACAATATCTGGATAGCGGAATCGCGCGGTAGTAAAATGTCGAGGATATTTTTCACTCGATTCTTAATTGAATCCGCTTTCGGCTCACTTTTAATTTATTAGAACTCGATTACTTTGATGTTGCCTTCTAGATAAATAGCCAATTATTGGGCGACCGTGGCGAGACGCTCCGGAATTCAAAGCATGCTATACTTATGTACTGATTTGGGTAGTTGTCTATACTAATATTGTAAATAGGACCGGTTTCATTGTTTGTTGTGCGGGCAAAGTCGCAATAAAAGAGCAAGTCTTAAATAAATCTTTATATAATATTTTTAAAAGAGATATTGAAAATATTCATTTTATGTAGACAAAATAAAAGCTATATCGATTTATTCAACTTTAAGGGTAGTGTATATCTTATGAAAGATGGGTCGCATCTCGTCGGTCGTGAAATTTCAGAACTGACAAATTATATGATATTTGACCATGCTCTCTCGACTGAAGATCCGTCGCGTACTTACGCTTTACATTTGACATATCTTGGGTCAGTTTTACACCGACTGACCAAACAGATTTAGTACGATGTCTATGAGCTTTATTGATTCGGGTCATTTATTTTGTTTGAACTTTATAAGTAAGTTAAATTAAGTAAAATATATAGGTAAGTTATTACATTTCTCAGAATTTTTTATTCATCTTTATCGCTAGAGTTTCCGCCGATTTTTATAAAAATTGATTTTGTAGATTTCTGTATTGCAATTCCAAATGAAATACCTTTACTTAACTCGATGGCATAATATCATCAATCAAACTGTGCTCAGCCAATCGTATGTATAAAGTCTGTTCAGCCGTTACGTAGAGGAGAGGAAAAAATAATATATTTGAATTTTCAAATTGCTGTTGCACTTGTTAATGGATTGAAAAGAAATAAAAGCTTGTATTATGCATTGATTTTACTTGGTATCATTCTCAAAATAAATTCTTTTTTAATATAATTTATAGGATTTCTAGTATAATATATATACGCAGCATTTGTATTATATTTTTGCATGATGAATTTCAATTTGCTTTACGTACGAAAACAAACATATTTGGTTATTAATAGTGGCAATTTTGCATTTACAATGCTATCTTGATATTTATCTTAACATAAATCAAATGAGTCATTAGAATTCTTAACAATTTTTAGGACATTATTGTCAGTGAAAGTTACCGAGACTTATAAGGATTTCCATATTTATGCAAATTAGAGTTTGATTGGAATTATTTTTTTAGACACAAAAGGAATACCTAATATTAATTTTGCTGCTGTCACGACTCACCAGCTCCCATGTCATCGACAAAAAAGTCACGACTTTTTTGTTCTTATGTAATAACCCTAAACTAATATAGGCACTATCGTTCTTTTTAGAATGTGTCCCATTAAAACAGCAAAATATTTTTAACATAAAGAAATTCATTTTGTAATGAAATTTTAAACAACAATGAACATATCATGGCGGATACATTTGTGTTTCGAATGATTTTTTGCTCCGAAACAGTTAATAAATTACAGCACCACAGTTAATTTTATTATCGATAATAAACTTGTGAGTTTAGCCACGAAATCGATCGCAGTGAGCTTGCGATCCTTAATAGGTATGCGAGTAAATGTTACAATGTCAACAGCGCGAAACCATTCCCATTTTGATTAAACGCGCGTGTGTACTCGCTCTGCAGATGGATACAGTGTAAATGCAGGGATGGTAAACCAATGGCTTTAGTTATTAAAATCTAATCTTTCCATTAGTTTCGAAGTGCTTTAATTGATTAAAGCCCTCAGTATCATTGGCAATTCTCACAGTCACAGAGAAAACATACGGTGCAGTGGTGTTACCGACTGATTAAAAACAATTATATTATATACAAAACGGAGTGTGAAGACAGTGAAATTATTAATTGAATTATTTGACTTAACTATTTCATAACTTTATTATATTTCAATAATTTTATATTCACAATGCTATATTAAATTTATGAGTTCGTATCTCAAAGTGCCAGAGAGAAAGTGTTTTTTTTTTAATAAGAATATTTTTCAGTATAGCGTTTTGAATGCAAAATTGATCAAATATACTAATTAGAATATTTCATATCTTTTTAAGTTCTTTAATGCGTACCTGTCCAAAAAAATACTCTTGGCCTAGTTTATCTAAAGTTTAATCATCTTTAAATTATACAAATCAGCAAGCACAATTACGTAAAGCAAATATTAGGTGGAGGCGCTCAATGGCGCAGTGGTAAGCGTATTCGGTCCATGATTCGGTCGGCGAAGTTAAGTAACTTTAGCAATTCTGGTCACGGATGGGTGGCTAAAATTGTACTATTTCGAGGTTAAGGCACGTTAACAGGTCCCGGCTACATATACAATTGTTAACACCTACAATCCCGCACTGGGCCCAATGCAACTTTGATGCCAGTCGTTACATAGTCGTGGTCAATAAGAAGTAAATTTTGATAATAATAGATTTTGAAAGTAGTTAAATAACGTATATATTGAAACAAATAAAAAATATCCGCCCTTGACTGGGCCTGCGTGGCCAATTCTCCTTATTTATATATTAGAATTAAGACATAAACAATGTCTTTTATTTTTAATTTTCGTTCATTTTATAAATGGACGATGAAGACTTGAGTGCTCGTGTAAATACAAGACCACATACATATATATTTTCTTGTTTTATTAAGCCAAAATATATATTTTATTATTGTCTCTTTATGTGTTAACGGCACTAACGTGACATTGACGGAATTGTGTCAACGCAAATATGCCATAAATTAAAAAAAAAGAAGAATAACTGAAGCATGCAAAATCATAGACAAATGTTGCATAACTAAGTAAGCGCTTAGTAAGGTTTACAGGTTTAGTGAAACGACTAATCTGCTTAAGTTATTTTCAATTTTAAGTGATTTCTAGTTAAGCTAAGCCTTGTTCTAGGTTAGTCAAAACGGGCATTATTCTTACAATTTTAATTCAACATTTGTTCAACTGTTTTTTATTGTATTTTTATCTCACGTCTGCGACTCTAAAAAATATTGAAACAAAGTACAAAACAATTTAGCTCCACTGCATTTCTTCGCAAAAGAATCGAAACGAAAGCTAAGTGTATCCAAATAAATATTTATCGACTCATTCACCATCTTATTATGGAAGGCCGACTAAAGTTAGTACTTGGTTTAAACTTTTTGGTCGCCTAAACCAAACAGATAAATAACAGAAGAGAAAAAGCCAAATTGATACGGGTTGATTTTATTTAGACTGATAATGGTTTCAACCTGGTACTAAGACGGTCGAAAATTTCATCATTTTCATTATCGAACATTAGAACATAAAAAAATATTTACTATCCCTGGAATGGAGTAAACATACGAAGATCACGGGGTGCGTTCGCGTCATAGCCTTAATAGGCTAAGCGATTACGCCACGCCCGAGTCGCCGCTAACCCAATTTACACAAAATGACCTATACCACATTAGCTGTGGTTGGTATGGATTATTATCGTGTAACTATGATACTATTACTTATGTATTTGGAATTGTAATGCTTCAATTTTTTATACATCCCTGATTTCACTTTCAACATAATTTCGATGGCGTAGTGGTTACTGCCATTCTGTTTACAATGCTGAACTTAAAGCTCTCTTCTACATACCTACTACTGCCATTCTGTTTACAATGCTGAACTTAAAGCTCTCTTCTACATACCTACACTTAGATTCCCATTTAAATACGCAAACATATATACGTTTCATACATTTTTAAACACAGAAAAAATAATCCAAATGCAATTATAAAAAAATCTTTTGATCATTTTAGTTAATTACAAAACCTATTTTATAGTTTAGTTAAGATGAAATATATTATTCGTAAAATCGACCCAAAAAACCTATAATTTCGCGCAACCTCGCCTTAACAAAATTTGTGCGACGAAAAATGTATTATTTTGAGCGTGCTTCAGAAGGCATGACAAGCTATGGGTCCCGGTTGCATATGAACTATGTGCAGTCGTTAATACCAACCAGTGCGGATCATACCGGTCTAGCGTAGTGGGTTTTACTTAGGCTCAGTCTCCCGATGCAATTATATCCATAACGAAAGCTTGGGTATGGGGACATCAATCGGCCGATGATGATTCCACTTTATCTTATTCGCATTTCATTCGAAAAAAGTATGTAAACATTATCGTAACGATTTTATCCTTCTTTAATATTACTCTGACCCCAAACAAATATTTTTAAATAATCTCGGTACAAAGAGCACATTCGTAAAATACGTATCAGTATGTAATACCTATTAAGCATATTTTATTATCAGTACTCTGTTAAATTAATACACTGTTTATAATAAGAATACATCTTACGAGCTTTTATTTAACTTTGGTGTTGGTCAAATCTTGCAAGACAAATGAAATTCACTTCTCCGTTTTAGAATGATCTAAGATTCGTTGACCGATTATCATTTTATTCTTATTTCTAAATTTTCCAGCGGTGTGGAGGCCGGGAGTGCCGTCGCCTCCTGCGCCGGGTCCCGCGCCGTCGCCGCGCAGCCCCGGCGCCCCGCCGCCCCCGCCCCCGCCCGTTTGGACGCCGGGCAGCGCGGGCCCATCACCACAAGCACCCCGGAAATCCTTCCGCCCTGTACACTTCGAAGAAACACCGCCCACCCGCCGTAAATTCGGGGTAAAAGTGGCCTATGTCAATAACAGATACCTATTATGTATTGTCAATATTATAAAACGCGTGAGAGAACAATGCCAATACTTTCTTGTATCATGTACACACTACCGAGTTTTGCTACATATTGGAAGTTAATGCTCACTTGGAGGATTTTAAATTTAAACTAAGTGAATACTCCTTCAAAATTAGGTCATATAATTTTTAATGATTTCGAAATCTGAACCTTGAAAATATGATTTTTTGATTGAAACCCATTGCTATTTATTACGGGCTCTTCAGATATCTGAATAAAGAATAGATACTTTGTGTTTGATATTGGCAACGTTATAACCTCAGAGAAAAAAATATGATAAACTTTTTAGCACTAATTAATATCGGATAATTATTAAGTAGTTACATATATCGGCCGAGTGATAAGCATCATCTTTATTTCCAGTTATTCTATTAACAAGGATTTTTATATATTTGACTTGTCATATTTAGTAAAGGACATTTCTAAACTTTTTCTTTAGGTTTTGAAGAAATTAACAAGTTTGCAAAAAATCTTACGTAAAAAAAGATTAAAGAGAGAGTTCCAAAGTTTTCGAGCTTCCCACAGAAATATTGACATTCACTAAAAAGTTACTTCTCTTGTAAATATTTAAACGACGCGCTACAGAGTTGTACGAAATTCCACAAAATTAGCTATTTTACCAAAATATTTTATAAAAGTACCTAAATGACAGTGAGAGTTAGAGAATATTCATAAAATTATGCCTGAAAGATTTAATTTTGTGAATACTAAATTATCATATTTAATTTTGAAAGGTTGTGGGATGAAAGCAATTTATCGGATATTGTTAATAGGCTCTAGCATTCCAAAATCTACGGTGGCAACATTTTCCCAAATATTAATATTCATGCAACCCCAAATATAAACAACACTAAAGTCTGACCTCGGTTTCGCTAGGGTATAAATTCACGTGTAGTGAATTCCCAGTCAGCATGTTTTAACAATCTTTTATTTAATTTGCAATGTATGTTTGTTAAAGCTTGCAACTGAATTTTAAAGCATACTCAACTGAAATTTTGCATACAATTTAGATGACATTTAAGCAACTTTTTACTGGTATTTTACTTACAATTTATACTGCACATATACATAATTGAACTATAATAGATGTGTAATCCTTACACACTGATTGGGACAGTTATTAATATACTTTATTGTTTTCTACCAGCTTTTTTACGTCATTTCAAATCTAATACAGTGGACCGTCCCAGTGTGCAATCTAGTTATATTTTACCTAACAAATAAAAGTGATCGGTAAGAAAAAGAACTATATGGTGGACCACCCAAGATGGCAGACTCTTTAAACACTCATAATAAGGGAATCAAATGAAAGGGTATTCTGAAAAGGTAGCGATATTATATAAAAGCTTTTCGCCTTTTTACTGAATCTTCAATCATCATGGTTATATTCAAACTTTTGCCATTTTACTCAAAATAATTATAAATTATACACTAAAATTGACACAAGAGAACGAACTACTCTATTCCAAGAAGGTAACATAAATTTTCCTTTCAATTATCAAAAGTAAAGGAGAATTTATTTTTAGCGTTATAACTAAGTTTCCGCAAACCACAAAGAAATTAATAGTTTAAAACATCGTTTATCTTAAAAATATTTAAAAAATAAAACAACTCAGGCCTGATTCTCCGCCCTGAGTGAGTTAAGTTTATAGCGATAGATCGTCTGTTCTAATCCAGCCAGGTAACTGAGACTGTTTTTTTCCAATTTCAAGATAAAAATTAAGATAGCGATGTAAATACAAAAATCACAATATTAATTGAAGCATATGGGAGCCTGTCAGTTGAACGTCATAGTCCTAACTAAACTCACTAAAGTATGGTGAAGGATCCGGAATCCTGCAAGGAAAGCTCCGGTTCCTTTATCATCGAAGTTTTCCTGAGAATAATTTTTTCAATACTATAATTTATATGATACCTTCGGCAACAGTTGGCACAGAAATCGAATTAAGAATGCAAATAGAATTTATATCTAAATTGTATAACGTCCAATCTTTGCAGAGGAAAACTTTTTATTAAGCTAAAATTTAATTATTTATTATTTTCGCCTAGCGTGAATATTATATTATTTTTTTATTACGAATATTATTTTACAGAACTTTGAACAGAACGGTTGCACGAGTGGATCTGAGAGCGAAGGGCGGTTACGCACTTCGCACAGCGCTCCAGTAACTGGTCTCAATTCACTGGGTACCAACACCGCTAGCCGGTTGCCTAAAGCGCAGAACCCTACAGTCACATTGCTGCAAAAAGCACGAGGTAAATACATATTTCAATTTTTTCTTACGTTTGATAAATGTGGTCTTTACACGTTTCTTCTCCATCAACATTAAACAACTTGAAACATTTCAATGTATCGTACAAAAATAATGACATTAAAATTACAGTTCAGAGAGCTAAATTATATTCTGATTTCATTTAAGAAGAAATATTTAGACTATCAAACTTTAATTTAGAGTCTATTAGTAACTTCGTCGTTTCGGAATGCAATTAAACAAGAAGTAATTGTCTTTTAAAAGTCAACATCCTAGAATAAATTAGTTTATTTAGAATTACAATTTTGCTATAGTATTTATAGTTCAACATTTTCAAATACCAATGACCAATGACCAGCCCTTTTACGTCCCCACTGCAGGGGCTCAGGCCTTCCTTATGGATGGTTAAGGAGGATGGGCCATGACCCTCCACGCTGGCCCAATGCGGATTGGAGGGTATTAACGACTGCAAATGCAGCCGGGACCAACGGCTTAACGTGCCTTCCGAAGCACGGAGTAGCTCAAGATAATAATTTTTTGGTCACCCATCCCGTGACCGACCCTTGCGAAAGTTGCTTAACGACTACGATCGCGGGCCGCGGCGCTTATCCACTACGCCACCGAGCTACTTTCAAATACGCTATTAACTAAATCTGTAAGTAGGCATTATGGTTAGAATAACTAAAATGGTGTCACGGAAATCTGTTGTAATTCCAGAAAAGTTCTAAGTTCCTTTATTAGCTTTAATATTTCGTTATAAAACGTAAGTATGAACCTTCTATATCCACGAACTCAGAGCGACGTGATCTCGTGCAGTAACATTACATCTATCATCCTGATTCTAAGAAGGTTAAGTGGATTTGCCATTCATAATCGTACGTTTTATGGCCAGCTCTAGATAGGAGATATTCTTTGCACGTCCCGCAATCATTACACATTCGCCCTCAACATTTAGATATATTGCTACGCGTTTACCTACCTCGGAATTATATTATGAATGCCTACGTTAACTTAAACTCACATTTTTTTATGGAAAAATTCATAATTCTCTGCTATTTGCTTCCTCATGTAGAACTAACACTTATAGAAAAACTGGAATTTCCTCCGTAAAACGTAAAAAAAAAAATATTATCATATTAAAGACCGTCTATAAACTTTCGACCCGTTTTTATAAATTGCTCGCTGTATTTGATAAGTTTAAAGGTTATATGGAGGAAGTCGTCGACATCAGACTATTAATGTCCTCATTGTGGAGCTTATGAAGCTCACCACGTAGGTCCAGCACTAGTGCAGCCGGGACCGGCTTAAATGAAATTCAAAAGCACGTTTTTAAGATTTATACTCATAGGATATCAAACTTAAATAATTATTGAATTTACCAAAATATAAGTAAATATAATAAGGGCAAACGAATATTTTGGGACAAAAAATAAAAATATGCCTTATTATTATTAGGGAATTTACCCACAAAACAATCATAAACAAATAAATATAAGAAATTTTATCAAAGAAAATTGACAAATTTGCTAAACTATTTTTTATTTTTATTTTTACTTATCTCTACAAAACGGAGTCCCATCCGTGCTTAAAATGTATTATTTACGTGTATCAGTGGTGACAGACGGACAGTCAAAAAATCATATAGAAATATTAGATCTGAATTGCTGAGCTTCAAATCGAACTTTAAATAAAACAAAATGAATAATAGTAAAACTATTAATTAAATAAGCTGCATATGGCATAGTGGTTGTTTGGACGTACACTTATAAAACGAAGAAAAATTCAAGACATCCAAAAAGTATTTTAATGTTTCACGAATATCATTTTAATAATTTATTCCGGTAACATGCCGACGAAATGACGACTAATTGCGGACAAACTTCCATTAATTGGCTTAGTACGGCCTCCGGGGTGCTACAGATCGCTAGGGAATCCGATAATTGCCCTCTTTGTATTATCATTGTTAATGAAAACAGTACAATGGGGTGAAAAATTTACTTCCCAAACGTACTTAACGAAATTCGAGTTAATGATAACAAACTGGTAACCTAATAAGCAAGATTCTCCACAGAAACAAATTTTATTTTCGGTTTCAAATTGGAAAAAAAGCCTGGTCAAATTAGCATTAACGTATTGTGAAATGCTGTTCGATGCCAAGCTGACATCAATAAAGCACTGCACTGGTATTCTGTTGATGCCACAATGACACCTTGCAAATAATATGTTCAAAGTTTAATGATAAGACAAGCATCCACCAAACTTTTAGCAATATAGTAATAGACGTGACTTCCTTATTCGTTATCATGTGGTTGTCAAATGGAGTTGGAACTTCTAAGATACGTTACCTTCCTTCCAATTTACACTGACACACCTATAAAAATCCGTGTGATAAAGGTATGACGAGGGTTAGTATACATATAGTGACGGCCGATCGTCAGTATTACTTCAAAGTACTGGCTAATGACATCTGGCCGATACGTGATATGCGAGTTTAAGAACCCAATGATCCAGATATGGGATTGACGTTTTGTAACGATTCATTAGACGATAACAAACTTCAACGCCTTTGTAATCATTGTAAATCTTGAAGGCAAATTTGAGCCACTTCCCGGTTTCTGATTGAGGTGAATTTTGTAAGCATATGTAACTTTGATATGAAATGGAGGTGATCTGGTGATGCAGCTGGAAGTAACCATATCGAGTTTCTCATCTAAAAAGCTATGAATAAGCCGGCATAACATCTTGGGCACCTGATAAATTAGTAATAGGAGTTAAAGTATGAAATTGCCGATTTGTACTGAAAACCAAAATTGATTATTTTTGAATTTTCAACAAATTTATTAAATAAAAATAGTTACCATTATTATCTATACATTGCTGCTATCTAATAGGAAGGTCATTTATGCCTTTGCGATAGAACTCTGAGGATCTAGAGTAAACAAACTGTGTGAAAGCATTTTGTACTGACGAAAACTTTTTGTGTCTTGAAAAAAAATCCTTGAAAAAATGGTAGTCCATTGGAGCAAGGTCTGGCGAATACGGAGGATGACGAATGGTTTTTAACTGCAGTTCCTGAAGGGTCAAAACTTTTTCTCGTGCTGTATGAGGTCTTGCGTTGTCATAGAGCAAAAATGGTGAAGATCGATTCATGAGACGGTGCTGTTTTACTGCTAGTTTTGCCAACATTGTTCGGAGTTCGGCACAATAGACATCTGCCGTTATTGCTTGACCAGATCAGAGAAAACTATAGTGAATAACACCATGCTGAGATCACCAAATAGTTACCATTACCTTTTTATTGGTAAGTTTTGCTTTAGGACACTGTTGTGGCGTTTGACCTGGGGTCAGCCATTGCATTTTTTTACGGTTATCATAAAGGAATCTACTTTTCATCACATGTCACAATTCGATCCAATATTCCTTCATATCTGAGCCGATTCAACAAGGCAACACAAGTTTCAACACATGTTTCTTTCTGTGGATCAGTCAAAGAATGAGGCACCATTTTTTGGGTTTTTTTTTATTTTATTGATTTGACGCAAATTAGTCAATATTTTGGGTAAGGTAACGTTAAACTATGCCGCTCATTCCGGGGTAGTTTGCCTAGGATCGGCTTCCACCATCTCTCTTAATTCATCGTTATTTACCTGTGTAGGCAGTTTTCCTCGTGGCTCATTCTTCAACTCGAAGTTTCCATCACGAAAGCGTTTAAACCAAAATCGCACGGTGCGTTCATTAGCAGACCCCTCTCCAAATGCAACATTGATATTGCGGACTGTATCTGCCGCGTTTCTTCCGCGCCGGAACTCGTATTCATAAAAATCACTCGAATTTTCGCAGTATCCATCTTTTTTTGTCTAAGTTGAATGACAAAAACAACTGAAAGTTGATATCTAAAAGATTCACATTCTTTAAAAGAACAACATCATAGAAACCATGTGAAAAAAGTTTCTTTCGAAATCCTCAAACCATGAAGATTCTTTGTCAATTCAAGGAAACTATTACAATAAAACGGCAATTTCATACTTTAACCCCTAATATAAAAAAAATATGTTGATTCTCCTATTGTCTATAATATAAATTAAATGTAGTAATATTCTGTCCTATCTAAATATACTATTAAACTGTTAATCTTTACATTCATTTTTAGAAGGGCAGATTCCCCGCGTGTCGAGTTATCTGCAGCAAGAAAGAGACAGTGCTCGTCTTCCTCGAGACAGACCCTCACCACCTCCAGGAGATCCAGGTAAGACACCATTCATAATTTATTCTAATGTTAGAAACCATACAAACTGATGACCATAAATGAAAATAATTATATACATAGGAAGTGAAAGAATTTAGAATGTAAATACTGTGTCTTGTGGTGGTGAATCCTCTCTGCCTACACCGAAAGCATCACAACTCGCATGAAGTACATAATAATTTAGTTAAAATTATTTTTTATTATAATTGTCGTAAGAGAATATTATTGGGAACTCTTGGATAACGTTTTTTGTTGTTGTATTTTGGACTTAATAATATCTAACATACAAAAAAATCATCTGAAGTATTATTCACCTGTTTTACAGTGCATGCCTTACGCAAGGAGTACGCCAGCGGTAGTGAAGCAGAACGTAGCGACTACGAGCGCGGCGGGCCGCGGAAGATGGCCGATGCCCCAAGGAAGGTGGAAGGAATAGGACCCACTACCAAAGACGGAATGCCAGTCGCACTCAGATCTGTAAGATGTATTCATTATATAGTATTAAAGTAATTGTCCAATCTAACTTGTGATTTCCTGGAAGAAATTGTCCTACAATTTTCGCAATGGCCGGTCATAGGATGGGTGACCATAAATTTATTATGTCGAGCCCCTCCGTGATTCGGAAGGTACTTTAAGTCGTTGGTCCCGGCTACAACAGCAGACGTTAATCAGTGGTAAACAGTATTTTTGTTCAACAAAATCGAGTCAGTTTTTTAAACACTACTACCTACCCGCATATAAACCTCATACTTAGTTTTGTTCAATCACCCTCAGTTTTCGTTAAACATAAACTAAATTGATTACACGAATTTTGCTTACCGACGTATGTTTCCGATAAATTAATATTGAATTATTGAAATTAAAACGGTTTTTTTATGTGATTGTCGTTTCTGTACATCGTAATAAGATGCCCAGAGTGTGTGTAAACCATCCTGATCACTTTTGTTACATTTGCGGTCAACTTACTATTAAAAGTCAACGTCGTAATTTGACACCATTAGTTAAAAACTGTTGTTTTAATTATTTTGGCTTTCCGGTGCGAAATTTGGACAAAACCTGGACTCCTAGTGTTTGTTGTGCACAATGTGTTAGTTTATTAACATCATGGGCTAAAGGATCTAGTCATATGCCGTTTGCAGTTCCAATGATATGGTCTGAACAGAAAGACCATGTATCAGATTGTTATTTCTGCCAAACTTCTATCAAAGGTATTAATCACAAATCTAGACACACCGTGAACTATCTGAATTTACAATCTGCTCAAAGACCTATCCCACACAGTGATGATCTGCCTGTTCCTCAGCCTCCAGTAAACACGGATGACGTGATTGATGAAGAAAATGTATCTAAGAATTCTGATTCCGATCCGACTTTTGAGCCCAGCACTTCAAATACGGCACCTCATTTTGTAAATCAAAACGATCTCGATGACCTTGTACGTGATTTGGATCTCAGTAAAAGACAGGCAGAACTCTTGGCTTCCATTTGATTCCATCAGGATATATCCAACATGGAAAAACGGTACCAAGGCAAGTGGAGTCCGAACATGTTGGCTGATTATTGTTGGACACTCAAAAAAGACATCTTGACGCTAAATATTCCCGAAAATCCTGAATAAAAGTCAAATGTTAGTTGTTTTTCTTGATTAAATTCAATTTTCAACCATATTTACTTAAAAAAAAAAGTGTATTGCAGTTGCAAGAAAACTGAGGGTGACTGAAACTTTTTAAAAATGCAGATTATGAACAAGCTAATTGTAGATACAAAATATCCCATTCAAATTAATTTAACTTTCATTAAGGTAATTTTTGTCAATCAGTGTATTGGTAGCAATACAACCATTTGTTCTATTTCTGCAATAACGTTACAATAAAAAATATATATATCATGAATAAATTTTATAGTTAAAATGCCTGTTTTTCGATATTCGATAAACATGACTCATTAAAACATTTTCGTTTCAGGAGGTGAAAGATCCTTCGAGATGGTACAAAAAGATGTACGACACCATTCATAAAAACAAATACGACGGTAATTAACACTCTATTTATATTGGGTATATGTAATTCACATATAGAAATAATAGGTAATATTCTAGAAACCTAAAAACTTCTCATGACAAGTAATGTCAACAAAATTATTTCTTTTGAAAATATAATTTCCATACGAAACAGAAATAAAAAATAACTCTAATCTAATGTAGGTATTATGTATACTAAAATGTACTATACACACTTATATTAATGAATTTAAATATATATTATATTACTTCAAACACACCACAAAACATTTCATTTTCTTTTTCAGACGATTATGTGACAATACGATACAAAAACCGCCGAGGTGATTATCGCCATTTTTTTCTTTTCCAAATTATTTAAATCCATCGGTGGCTGCGTTACACTGAAGTGTTAACAAAAAAGTGCTTATTTATAATAATATATTTTAATTATAAATAGATATTTGCTTCTTTTATACTAATTTTGATAATGAATTTGACATAAACTCACATAGCATTATTTGAGGAATAATAAATCATTAATAACACAAATACATATTAAAAAGCAAATAAAACGACATAAACATGCTGTTACTTATTATACCTCATTTAATATACACAAGTGGCTTTGGTGCTTTTATTTTTAATGTAAGAAAATCTTTTTTTTATGTTTAAAAAATTTTAAAGCTAACATCATCCTTCGTTATTTATTCTATTTTATTTTTTCTTACAAATAATTGGTGAAGCTTCATTATAAAAAATATATTATTGTAGTAACATTATTTATTTATGTTATATCAAATCACGCATAAGAGTCACTAACCCTTAAATTATAGCGCCTACTAAGTACGCAGCCCAAATAAAACCGCTTAAAATTTTTCATTAATAATTATCATACTCATTTAAAAGGAAAACGATCACACGCATTTATTAAAAACATCTGTCACATATTCGCCATTTTTATTTCACTTATTTGTCGGCAAAGGTCAACCACCCCAGCGGGTGAGCAACAAATCGCAGTACGCGTACTTCGACCCACGGTCGGGTTACTTGAGTGAACCAGAGGGTGGTCTGAGCCGTCTGACGTCCTCCACGTGGAGCGACGCGTATGACAGTGATGTCACCACCGGCCCGAGAAGGAGAACCGCCTCGGTGCAAGAGGAGAGGAGAATCAGCGACGCCGCTTCACCATATTTACCGAATAACAAGTAGGTTTTAATCTCCTACAGACTTCTGCGATCTTAGTACTTTTTTGAGTTACCATCCTCCTTTAAGAACTTGTTGAGGACGAGGAGTCATTCCTGGCACAGAACAGAACCAATCTGTTACTATTGTTTTGTAAAAGACGCCATTTTTACTAATAATTTTCGGGACCCTGCTTAATAAAGATATTAACTAGATGCTATCTGTATTAACTCAAACTCCATGAGATGCCACTTCTGCGTTATTGTTAGCTGAATTAACAAGTGACCGGGGAGTACCCTCCCCGGCACAGCATTTGTTTTAAAATTACTACTTATTACTAACCTCAAAATTACACTGTTAGCATTTTATTATAAAACACTAGAATGATAATTTAAAATATAAGTAGAAAGAAGATTGGTCATAATCGCTATCAACATCGCCGAAATCCCAAATGTAACACGAAATTATCGTTTTTTAATTATTTTGAAAAGATTACTTTTTTTTTTCAGGTACAGTACTTTAGCCTCAGCTAGAGCAAGCCATGAAGTTTATAAAAACCAACCGGGAAGGATAGAAAATTATGTGCCTGGAAAATCTTCCGTAGTGGATAAAGAAGCGAAACAGGTATAACTTACATTATTAGCACTATATAACTTTTTTTGACAATCATTATTTCATTAAATGTCATCAAATCTCATTCAGAATGCTGACTATAACAGAATTAACATTTACAGGGTTGCCAATAATCAAATTCTGATTTTCTTAATAATAACAGGCCCTACATTTCTTAATAAATGCATTCAAAATCATTACATGTAATAGTAATCTGACAAATACATAATTATATTATATGCATACAATCTACGTAAACTTACACTATTATAAAAGAATAGTAGTGAAATGCTCGACATAAAGACTTGGCAACCCTTAATCATTACATTAACTAATTTGGTCATATCACAACGCACAAGGAAGCAACAACAATTTGTTTTATTTTTCCTTTCTAGTGGTGGGACGAGGTCATGGACATTTTTGATGGGGTACGAATCTTTATTTTACTATTATATGTGTCTTTTTGTGATAATAATTATGTTTAACTTTGTACCATACTTAATTGTTTGTTGATAATGTTTTTCATAAATTTTAATATTGATATTTATTACAATTAATAACATTATGTTTTTTTATGAATTGATAACGTTATTAATATTCTTTTTCGAACAACAATAATAACTAAATATTTTGATACTACACTCACTCATATTCATAGTTGTGAATCATATTATAGGAAAATTCGTTATTCCCTACTTTTCCGTAAAATAAAATCCTAAACGATATAAGGATAAAGAATATCACCAGAGTTTATTTTTTCAATCTCTATCAAGTTCCGATTTGCGTTTAAAAAATACAAGCCATTCGGAACGCTTTGTCCAAAGAAATAACTAAAGTTTGTCACTGATGATAATTTTCACCCAACGCGATTCGGAACGGTTTGTTACCATTTACTCTGAATGGTTGCAAAGAGTAAATAAGTTTTTAAATTTACTTTTTTTCCTGTGACTGATTTTTTTGTTGTATAAAGTTTGATATACCCTCCAGGAGTAAGTAATTATTAATAAACTTGCTTAAATGTACACTCGTTATCATTAAGTAATTAATGCTTCACTCCTGTTTTACATTAAATAACTATTTTTCTAGTTTGTGATTTGTTTGAAAGGTGTAAGTTCAAAAAAATAGTTTTTTGTTGCTCTGTTAACACAAAATATATCAAATAAAATATTTTGAACCTGTATTGCGTTTCGTTTACAAATTACACATAACGTTGAAAATACAATACAATTATCCATTCATTTAGGGTAAAAACTGAAAATCAGTGCTTTGTTCTTTGAGTAAATACTCACTGAGTTTTCGCCCATTTGCATCGCTGCGGTACACATAATGTTTGATTGTCCTGTTTTAGTTTCTAATATTGTGTAAAATCCAAATTGTAAAATTTTGTGTATGCATGATGCAAATAAAGAATTTATCTATCTATCTTCATTCAGTTTCGTTAAATCGAGTAAATATGATTTTGATGAGGCGCTATGAGATTGTTGTATTTAATAAAAGACACATTACATTACCGGGTGCATAATCACTAACGGTGTTTTCCATTGCTGTCGGGTCCGCGGTGGTGGCACTAACAGTGGCTAGATGACAACTCCCCTCTGCCTCCTTACACAACATTGCTCGCTCGCGCCATTCAAAAGAGTGTAAGGCCCTTAACATTGTGTCCTTAGCATTGTCTGTGTGATGCATTCGATGTTTGTGGTGATGTGGTGGTTTTGAAGATAATACTAAACTGACAGCGACCTGTTTTCGTTTAAAAATTTATGAAATTCATAGTAATTCAATTCGCTCCAAATTTTAAGTAGGGCAGATGACACGGTTTTGGCCACTGGTCACTTTTGGCCTTTTGGGACTTTAATTCATTGTTACTTCCATATAGATAATTAAATTACTTTAACGTACATGGTCTCTAAAATTTTGAATTATCGCAAAGATGGTACAGTTGCAAACTGCAAGGTTTCAAAGCTCGATTTTTCCTAACTTTCAGCGACAAAATCAGGTCATCTACCCTCTCAAAAATTAAAATTTACGTAACGACCTTAAAATTACATGATGATGTAGAGTATGGCATATTAGTACAGAACTCTGTTTATTTTAATTTATTAGTTCACACTGTATATAATATCTATAAACATTGGTCTGAGACTCCTATGCATTTACCATCAGTTATTGGCTGTCAGTTGAGTACCTACCATTTCTTTGTTAACTTTTGTTCATGGGAATCATACGCATGCTGGCATTGTTTTTTAACTCTATTCATACAAATAGTAAATAAATCTATTTATGTTAATTAAAGTAATATATAAAATGTTTACAGAATGTTATTATGTCACTAGTCGTTGACGAGGCGCATTGTAAATATGTTAATTTTGTTATAAAATATCTCTTATTTCAGGCACATATTCTAATAAGCTTATTGTAGTATACTCTTAGATATAACGCGACTACTCTAAATGCTTAAAAATTATCATCATTACGAGTCCATTAATATCTCTACTGCTGGGGCACAGGCACTCTCTGTGGAAGGTATCGAATAGGGATTGAACATGAATTTATAAAGTATACTTAAGCAAAATTAAATTGCAATATAACGCAACTACCCCCATTTCAACTGGACAGGGCAACAACCTTCAGCAAATAAATTTTCATAAAAAGAATTTGACATCAACAATAAGCATGTCTATTTAATAAAAATTGTTTGTTTATTTGAGAATGTAGATTCAAACTACAGCTTTTATATTATGATATAGCGTTTGTAGTTTGATATTAAGTATTTGACATTTTATACAATTATATTCGATTTTGCAGCAAAACATATCAAGTACCACATCACTCCCTCAAGCTTCTCCCAAAGAAAAAAAGGATATTACTTCTGCTATTTTATCAAAATCAAATATGGCAAGGTAAGAATATATGAGTTATTATTAAATTATGATACTCGTACACACAAGTTACTAAATAAATGTCAAACAGAATCATATCGAAGATATAAATCAAATTATTGGGACGACGTTGTAATTTTTTTTATTATTTATTTGACATTAAAATCCAGCATATGAATTATTTTAATTACATCCACATCTAAAGGATGCTATCACTCAGATCAAAAAACTATTTTTAGAGCACTAAAAGAGTCGGGTTACGAATCGGATTCGACTCTTGTGTTCAGACGTCGCGAGGACAGCGATGGGCCGTTATCCCCTGCCGAAAGACGTGCGGCGTACAGAGACCTGCAAGCAGGGGGTGAACCACCCCTTAGAGGATTCCGCTCACCAGCGCCACTTAGACAAGGTATGCAATCAAATACAGTATCTATAAAAGTAAATAGTAATGTTCTACAAAAAAAAAGAAACAGTATAAATTTCATCCAATATGCGACAACATTCCAAAGAGAAGCTTATCGCACCTTGAATGTGTCTTAAATATGTTACATATTTCTTACTAATGGTTTTATATTCCCCAGTCTTTGCATAAAATTTAAATCGTTTCTATGATTTTAGTAAATGTGCAAAAAAAATGTACAAGCAAGCACCAAAAGAAAATTATGAATGCTTCTATTTAGTTGATTTTCCAATATCAATAAATTTTTCTTAAGGTTTTCTTGGAATATTTTAATTTTTTAAAAGATAAGCTATATAAAATATTTTTGAGTTAAACTTTTTTTTTGTTATAAAACAATACAGTGTTTCAATGCATGGTTCGATGCTTACATTTCTTTCGGTGTCGGTGATTAATCTTATTAACAATAAATTTTACCCTGAGTGGATACGGCTTATATACTTATTCTAATAATAATAAATAATGTCCATGGAATTAAGTAGATGGATTTTATAAGGAAAAACTAGGAAAATAATTGAGAGTTGAATTATGTATGAGACTATCAAAAATTACTTATTAAATACTTTAGACTATTACTATTGAAATTTTCAAAGATTTCGGTCAAGGTTGATCAATGCATACTCTATATTATGGCTACATCATATATGATACAACACTGTAGTGTTATTGGGGAAAAACTCAGGGTCACTAACTACACACATAATGAACGTTGACACGGTAATGACGCGACGGATCTTTACACTGTATATATTTTAGTTTATAATCAAACACGCACGAGGTAAGTTAGAAATTCGAGTCAATGCATGTTCTGATATCACTCAATAATGGGTGCTGGGAGTTCTGCTGGGCTACATTATCAGGTAAAATATTGCATGCAATCAAATCTACTCCAAAATTAAATAGGCACAGATAATATAAACACACGCAATTGTTGGTTGACGCGGCACTTTTGTAGAAACACTATTAGAAAACCAAATGCTTTTGACAGACACAACTTTGCAGGAGCACAAGAGACACGTTTTTCTTACACCTAACATGAAGCTGTAATGGAATTTACTGAAGCATCATTGAAATCCGCAGAGGAATCGGAAATAGAATATATTCCGATATCATCAACACTGACGAAGATAAGAGTTCACAAAAAAACACCGAAACACCACGAAGTTATTTGCTTCCCAGTAACGAGCATTGAACAAGATGCAAAATTTAAAAAACTGGCACCGTCTTTCATAAGTGTAAACATACCAACAGAAATTATTGGTAATCCGCCTGCACCACCACGAAGAATATCTTCTAAGAATAGCAGAACACTGAAATTGGTGACCTCGAATAGATCTATTTCAGCTTCTCCTAAAAGAACCAATACACAAACTCAGTCAAACATTGATTTTTTAAAAGATAAAATTAGTCACAAACTAATACGGCAAAACACTCACATAATAAGCAAAAGAGAATCAACTGTTGATCTAGAAAAGAAATTTAGCAAATCAAGACTAATGTCCACTTCTGCTCCTCCTGATGTGAATAGAAAAAACATAACTGCTCCATCGAGTTTATCTAAAAAATCTTCTACTGACGTAAAATCTGTTGGAACTAGCAGTTTTGGATCACCAAGGAGAACTTTATTACCCACACAGTATTCAAACTCTCCGCATAGCAAGTATGGCATGTCTCAATCATCCGTTATCATAGAAGGCGGAGCTGGCAGGAAAACTCCAATTACAAATATATTGGACAAAGTAACTTCCTTGGATAAGCTTTGGAGTGCAGAAAAACGAAACGAACGCATAGATATAGCTAAAGCAAAGGCTAAAAGCATTAGATTAAATAATATAGTTACACCAAAATCTATGACCAAATCCAATGTACCAACAACGATATCCAACAACGAGAAACAGTTAGTTCCAAGCGTTACTCACAAAAGCAGGGACATGGTTCGTACGGCGGAGAAGGTTCAACAGCTAAAATTATCTAACATCCATACAAAATCTAGCCCTTGTCTTACAACCAAAACCGAAGCTAGATCTTCTAAACCTACTACGCTTCAAAAATCACTTTTTTCAAAATCTTCGTCTAATATTTTGTCTACAAAAAAACAAAGTCAAATAAAAAGTGCGCTAGTAACAAACTTGAAAAAGAAAAAATCTTTGGAAAGCGTTGTTATTCGTCCTCGTAGTGTACCATGTCATGAGTCATGCAGTATAAAAAATCCTAAGGACACGAAAACTGTTAAGAAAATTACAAAATCCAAATCCGTTAAAAAGGATGGAAATAAATCGCCATATTATTCTGAAACAGAAAGTCAATTCGGTGACAACATTTTAATTGGAAACATAAATTTATCAGTCGAAAATATTAAAGAAAAAAGAGATGCAGTGATGTCTGATTCATTCTTTCAACATCTATTCCTTGGTGATTCTTATGTTCCGACTACTGCTTATACAATGCTGGAACCAAACACATCAGTTTTAAAAAAAGCCAAAATGTTTCAGTCGTATCCTCAAGACTACAAAGAATCGAAATCTTTAAATACTTACCTTATTCACAGAAAACCTGTCTCTCTCTCGCGTTTCAAAATATGGGATAGATATCCGAGTCCGGCACGTACTCAAAGCCCACGCTCTATATCTTGGCCAGGTCGAATGCACGGAGAAATACGAAAATTTGATAGCTTATCAAAAAATGATGAGTTTGGATCAACTTCATCTTTGGCTACTACGAGAAGCAAAAGTGAACCACCAATAAACAAAATTTATTTCTCACAAACATCTCGGCCCATATCACCGACTGTGGTATTTTATAAAAAAGAGAAAATTAAGGAGTCACCTAGTATTTTAACATCACCAACCCGTTTGTACTTCTCACAAACAACTAGACCAGTTTCACCAATCATTGCTCATAAAAATACTGAGCATGTATCTCTAACGAGACGCTCTCCATCTCCAAATAAAATAGTCTTCAGTGACACTGTTCGCCCGATTTCGCCATTAGTAACTAAACACTTCCCAAAGTCATCTAAAAAGGAAATAAATGATGACTTAGAAAAACAGCCATCAACAATATTTTTCTCGCAGACATCAAGACCGGTATCTCCTAAAGTAACAAGAAAATCCAGAAGTCGGAGTCAATCAACATCTCCATTTACTATTAGATCTCCTTCGTATAGGCGTATACACAATGTAAGATTACAAAGCAATAGGCATTTAGGGGATCCTGTGAAAACTCTGAAAAGTGTATTAAGGACTCGAAGCGCTGGTGATGCCGATAATAAAATGTTAGAAATTAATGTGCCATCAAAAACAAGAAGTGAATCGAATTTATATGCTAATGATCCTGATTATGAAGAATATATCAACGAATTAGAAAATTCAAAAATGAGATCAGAAAGATTTCGTGAACTTAATAGATATTATACGTATTTAGAAAGAGTAGGTGAATTAGAAAAAGCTACAAGCAATTCTGATATACGACATAGAAAAAAGGATGAAGAAATAATTGATTTTGATAGGTGGAAAAAGATCAGAGCAATAGAAAGAGCTGAAGAAGAATTAAATAACTTGTATTGTAAATTGAAAATGGCTCAAAATGAAAAAGATGTTTTATTTTACCCTAGAGACCTTAAAGAATTCAGATGGAATTTTGATAGAGACTGGGGACTTCGAGTAAAGGAAAAGTCAGTTGAAGATCTAAAGGATCATTTCCAACAAATTTCTTATCATGATTGTATAGATATGGAGCACACTTCTTCAAAAGACACATATAAACCTCTTTGGCGCGGTACTAGTGTGGCTGAAACAGCCTTTAAAATAAATAGGCAAAATGAAAATGAAATAAACAGTGATTATCGTCCAACTATTAAGCCAACTATTACATTACAGCAAGAAACTTCCTTGAGTGATTTAAGAAAAAAAATTGGGTTAGGTAATCGTTTATGGAGCAGTTTATCCATGGAGCAAGTAAACGCATTAAAAAATCAACTTAACGCTATTTATAGCAAAGAACTAGAAGCAAAAGCAAACAAAGAAATAGACAAGTATTCGATTGATGTTAATAATACTAAAGAAATGGATAAACCTAGCTTACATGTAAGATGCAATTCACTAATCACACCACAACATATTTCTGACGAAGAGAAAATTAATAAGCTTAGTAAAGCAGAATCTATAGCTGCTATTTCTTGTCCAATAACCTCTGTAAAAGAGTTAAAAAATAATGTAAATAAAATTCAAATGTCCCTTAGCGAAAACGAAAAGCGAAAAATCTCTCAGACACTAAGTAAAGAAATATTAGATAGAATTAATAAATTTGACAATTCGGCACCTACATCTCTCAAAGATGAATTGAAATCTGCTTCAATTGATATTCAAATCGATTCTGAAAAGAAACAAGAACAGCACATGCCAGTAAACAAAAACTCATATGGTGAAAATAATTCGCTAGATAAGTCTTCGCATAATTCCACTGTTGATGTTAAACTGAGACATATTGTTTATTCTAACGAAAAACCTGAAAGTCACTGTCAATCATCTGCAAGTGAAACAGATACTGCTAGTTCTGATATATCAAATAAAACCGTGATTTATAGAGGACCTAGCAAAGAAGTCAAAAAGAAAGTTGAGTATTTTGAAGCAGTCAAAAATACAAGTGAACCATCTAATGTCATTTATCACGCCAGAGAAAATTCAGATGATAAACAAAATTTAGAACCAAGGAAGGTTGTGCCATCTGTAACAAAAAATATAAATGATAAAGAACCTCAAAGAAAAACTATACCACAATCTCAATCTTGCACAAATTTTAAAGAACTTTTCGGAGAAAGTGAGAAGAATAAGTTTTTATCATTACCTTCAAATCCTGAAATTTATTCAAGATCACCATCTCCGCGTTCTGATTTACAAATTGCTGCTACCGATCGGCGAACGCCTGACACGCTACAATGTTCGAGCGAGGAGACAATATGGCGCAGTCGAAGCCCGTCGCCCGACCCGGAGCGTTACTGGCGCGCTTATTTAAACCTGGCGCGAGCTGGGGAGGTCCGTCGCCTAGCACGACGTTTCGACTCACCGTCTGCTGCTGAAGCCGTATTACGTCGACATCGAAGCGACCCGGAAATCGCTCGCAATGTACTTCAAAATAATTGGTCCTCAATTGAAAAATTTTCATCGCGTCGAGATAGAAATGTTCTCCCTGTGGCAAAAGTACCACTACGACCAAACAATCGTTTTATGCCCCATATAGATATTATATCAAAGTTAGCTGCATTGCGTCGACGAACAACGCCTAGATCACGATCCGCCGAAGAAGCATCAGCATGTCGTTCCGGCGAAGTGGATCGCATCCGACGGAGATTCGAAGCGATGTCATTACTCGGTCAAATATATGCATCCGCACCAGACATGAGCGAGCTACGTGATATCGCGCCTTATTTAGCAGGACCGTGGATAGCTCACCGTTTTCCCAATCGAAGTGATAACAATAGATCTATTGAAGATCCTACAATGCTTGTACGAGGCCGTACTTCACCTGTGAAAAGAGAAATAAAGCGTCCCTCCACTAAGGACTCCGTTAAACTGAGTTCTATTCTTAAAAGTGATGTGTTTGCTAAACAAGAGTTCGATCCTTCTGTCCATCGACCGGCCAGCCGCTACGAACCGCCGCGGACTCCTCCGCGGCCACCGCCGGCTTCATGGCCCTATCGCCTGGCGCCCTACGTCACGCCATCGCGACATACTGTCACATTCCAAGGTTATTATCTCAATTATATCAAACAAAATACATAATTATATGTAATCCATCATTTACCTAATTTAAATTTGGAGTAACTTATTGTAAAGTGCTTTACTCGTTGAAGTTTTATTGAGGCTCGTTATGTTGTTCAATTTGTTCATGCTTACTGTGCGTGTTTATGTTGCGTGATTGCTATTTACTAAAATGGCGAACTTCCCCGTTCGGTACCAATCTCTAAAATAATTTTAAAAGTTTTATTATAATTTGTAAAAATGTATAATATAAGCATAACGTATATCAATATAACTTTGACCATTATGAGAAGCATTTCATATTTTGTTTGGTCTTTTATTGCATTTTGTTATTATACTCTGATAGAGACCGACTCTGCACCCGAGCCTCCACGCAGGACGCCGTATGGGAGCTATTCAGATACAGGCAAGTAAATTAAGGCTTATTTTAATGTAGCCACTTAACACGGAAATTAAATAACCTATTCAAAATGCTGTATCATATTTTTCATTCATCAATTTCAACATAAACTATTAAATTGTCAGACCACGAAATAACACAAAATACTGAATATTTATATTAATTTTGTATTTAACTTTCTTTCCGTGTGCCCGTTGGATAACATGATAGTTGGAATTACGTCTGTATAATCTATGCGAATGCGAATAAAAACGAAACAATAGCCTTTGTTCGGAGTAATAGGCCCCTTAATTTATTCTTCTGACCAGCGGCAGCGCTGACATACGTAGTCTTGTCTTGAGCAAAATTAATAAATTAAATATTATAAAGTCGAATCTCCGCATTTTATTCGAAGTGTAATACTCTTAAGCTTCTATTATCGTTCAATGTCATACCTTGAATCTGATTGTTGAATCTACCAGCTAAAGTTTACATCGTCCATTTTGATTGGTTCGCCAAAAGTTGTTGGATTGGTTTTTTGTATATGTAGTAAATAGCACGGGTTTATTCTTGCACGTTCTGTTGTCATTATTTGAGTCACCTACTTTAGCGATACGCAGTGACAAAGAATATACAGTAATAAAATAATATCGAGTGCCTAGGCAGTGTTATCAGTTACTGATTATTCAATGATAAAAGGTGGTGTCTATAATGTGAAGAGTTTAGTTTAAATCCTACGTTGAGCAAGTGTGTGTTTAGTGAATATTAATCAGATAAACAAAGTGCATATAAAAAATGAACATCGATGAAAATAATATTGGTGTTTTAAAAGTTATACGCAAGACTTCCGTACTAGATAAACAAGACACTTCATACGAAGATGACGGATTCTTTAGCGATGTGCCCGCTTCTGGATCCTTATCAAGATCGATGCACGCACTGAACAAATACGTCAAAAAGAATCTGTTGTATGACCAAAACGATGATAACGAAGAAGATAATGCGTATTTTACAAAAGAAAACAGCCCAAATGAATCTATTTCAAAATGCGATTCAGATAGCATAAGAAGCAATGAGTCATTAGAAAAACGAGACCAAGTTTTGAAACATGTTAATGATGATAATTTAGATAGTTCATGCAATGAAGCGGAAATCGGCATTGCAGGTACGGGAACATTAACTGACGATTACAAAATTAAATCACTATTGTTACTTGACAAGCCAATTGAAGGAACACACTCTGTTATAGATGAAAAAGCCAATATAAACTGTACACATTTAATGACTCCAAAAACTTTATCCCTTAGTGATTTGACCAATAAAGTGAATGAAATTTCTATTAATTCGAATAATGTGTTACATAGAGAAAAACATAATAATGGAAAAGATATTGAAAAGCGTCACACCATGCATGATTTCGATTGGGCGAATAGAACAGTTATATATCCGGACGTTTATGCTCCGCTTCCGTATAGTAAGTATAATACATTACAAATAGAGCCTAATAAGGTTCAAAATTCCATTATAAACAATTTTCCAATTAAATATGTATAAAGTGCTTTTCTAATAATATATGTATATTAAAAATAATCCAATATCATCCTCATTGTAAAAATAATGATTAATATAGATGAGATTCTCTTGACGTGTAAGAACAGCAAACTTTAAAAACACTCGAAAAATTCGTGCTCAGTTATCAGATTGCGTCCTAGGCGGGAGGCCCGGTGTAGTAATTATTTACTACTGGAGATCGTCGACGAAAGTTTGTTGTGCATTCCGATAGTTGATGCCGCGACGTCTGCGCTTGCGTTCGACAGCAGAGTGACGCGGCACGGTGGTTCTTGTTACGTGCAAATTTTTATATGTGACAACTACAATGGGAATATTAAAGCAGATTAAAAGGATGACCGTTCACGGTTAGTTTAAATAACATTAATTTCCACTTAACATGAGAATAATAACGATAATTATATTTAAGAATCGTTTATAGGGCTTCTTCAAAATTAGATTTTAATATTTTTTTCCATTTAATTCTAATTATTGCTTACTCAAATATAATCTAATATAAGTCAGAAATCTTGTCAGTGAATGTTGATCCCATTAGTTGCGCTGCGGTTGAATGGTAAATTATGAAATATTGAGGAAGGTCGCACTGAACTGTAATCAAATAACGTCTTGCCTAATATTTTTCTCGGTGTTATCGGATATTTTCCGTTTTTAAATATGGTAAATAGTGATATTAATTCACGAAAATCACGAAAATTATTTATCACCTCACTTCAAAAGTCTAATCTATCGTTGTAACTGACTATTAAACTTGCGAATTTATGTCTAGACATTATTCAAATTATTTTTAAAGTAGACAATATTACCCATGGCAAAGCTATAATAGTTAAATGCAATATTAATATATCTTATCGTTATGCTCATTTCATTTTTAAACTAGGCAACAGTCATATATATAATAAGTTACAACTAACAGACTTATTATTTTGATATACATATTTTATGGCATAGACCGCTTGAAATTCGGTTTTTTGTCCTTTCCCAAGGTCCACTTTACCAAATTACTTTAAAATTGATTCGTTAGTAGTTAAGACATAAAAACGTAACAGACTAATAAAGAGTTATCTTATTATGTCTAAACAGAGCAACAGAAAATTGCAATACTACATTTATTTTCTGAAATCTATCAAATGTATATTTTCTGTGGCAAGATGTTTTTCTAAGCGATCGTCTAAAGCACAATAACTACACGAAAAAGTAACCAATATTTTTGAATCTTTCTAAACAGCGAAAGTGCTTGGTATTTCTTTTATTTCACTACGTGACTGAATTTGTAACATCATTGTGTGTGTTTTACGTAAATGCTTAAAAAATCACCGTTCTTTTATGTAAATAATATTGAAGATGCTATTTTCATTCTAAAAACTTTTTTATCAGATTGTTTGACCATTCTTGATACTATAGAATGACAGTAGTCTCACATTATTAGACATTGTCATAGCCCGATTCCATACTAAAATGTTGTGACCCAATTTCTTATTTTTCCTACTAATTCTATGTAGAAATCTTTAGTTTCAAACCATTATTTTATTTTATCAAATTTTTTATTCATCTGTTCCGTATACTGAAAGTAAATTACCAAAATATATTTAAGTCTCATTGCTTATTTATTCCAAACACGCATACCACTCGAAGTAATGAAAACAAATGCAACTCTACATTATTATTAGCCATCAAATTTCAATAGGACGTCACGATTTAATTACTTTTATTGGAAAAAAAAATAGTGCCCTTTGCAAAATTGTTTGGATTAGTGAATAATTGATAAATGTCTTTTAAAAATTTATATATACGTTATAAACCCAAAACACAACTAAGATATTGTTAATGCAAAAGTAATGTCTGTGTGTCTATTACTCTTTCGCACTTAATCCACTGTGCCTATTTACTGTATGAAATTTAGTACAGAGATAGATATGGCCTTGGGAAAGGACACATGTTACCTTTTATCATGTAAAAATCAGTAAAAAAAATTGTAATAGGGGTTTAAAATTTGTATGGAAGTTCATCTTTGTCGAAAATAAAACCATGAAGGTGTACTTCTGAAACTTATAAGATATAAATAAATTTAGATTTTTAAATTGCTTCTGGAAGAAACTACATATACTACGCGCTCGAATCACGAACAAAAGATGGCATCATTATAAATGAACATGGACTTTTTCGGATACACAAAAATAAATAAAAAAATAATCATAGATAAAAAATTATATAGAATTTTCACCGTTCAAATGTAAATAAATTTTTAAGATATCTGGCACTGGCACGTAGTACATCCATTTTGCGTACTAGAAATAAGTAAAGGTAGAGCTATTTGAAATCTTATCTCCGTCAAGTTACAACAAGGTAACTGCGTGTGTCGCAAGTATATACGTGCTTGGAATAACTCATGTTTGAGAAAGTAACTTCGACTACTTGTACTCTCCGAAGGTTTCGATTCCATCTCTCAATCGGAAACATGTGAAAGAAACCTAAAACGAAAGTGACATTGTAACGGAAATCAGTTAGTATCTAGTTGACTTCCTGCAATTTTAATGGCTATCAATATTTGCACATAAGACAAAGTTTTACAATATCTTAATTATCTAATTATTTTCATTAGAAACTTGAATATCTCACAGAAACATGTGAAATATATTTTAATTTTGTTTTTTTTTTAGATTTTTTTGGGCTTTTACTAAGACCATTCGCGGAATTTTTCTAAGATGAATTTCAATTAGCAGGAAATTTTTTAATATATGTCTTTCTAAAAAAAAGCAAAGAAGAACACTTTTTCTGATAACATTTATCAAAAGGTCATCACAAGTAGTTACAATCTTTTCATAATCCATAGTTTTTACAACCCCCGCTGGTAGGTACTTATAAATCCCAATTTCATTACGCAATTTATTGTTATTATACTCGTATATGTTTATAAAAAAACCGTACTAAAATATTTAGAAGCCGAAAACCAATTAATTCACTTACTATAACCAACTGTATCATGTTCTGGTACTTGATACTGATAATACTTATCTGAAGTACGTTTTTTAAATATCGTTAATATTATGTAGTAGTGAATTATCTTGTCTTCTTTATATGAGCTTCTTCTAATAAATACCGTATCTAACTAAGTCATTACAAAATTATTAGTATATTTAAACCATGCCAATGTATTCGTGATTATTTAAATTTAAGCAATGCTCATTTTACTACACTATACGTAGTACCTACCTTTATATGATGTGTGTCGGGCCTTTAAAAAATTCATACGTAACACTTCCGCTCGCACAAAACGTACGTACCTATACAAAAAACCGGTCGCACCATATAAAAGTTACGTATCGTCACATAATCGAACATAGCCGATGGGCACTGTTACGGCATCTTTAAAGCGAACACCATAGTTTCCACCATTTTACACTTTCGCCTCTCTAAACTCAATGGACATAGTCACGGCTTAAAAGAAACAACCAATTAAGAACCAAAAATCTTATTGTGAAAGTTTGAAAGTAATTATATTATGTTTATTACGTATTTTTTAAGAAATGCTTAGAGACACAACACCGGCCATCTTAAATGTGGGTTAATTCGATAATTATTGCGCACCGGAAGATTTTAAACGGTTGCACGTAATTTACAAATTTGCTAGAGTAGCGTGCGACATCCGTTCGATTTTTATCTAAAACAATCTAATAAACGTTATGCAGACTTCCTGGATTGTCTTCGAGAGATTGATGTCCATATCTGTGACCGTTATTTCATATATCTTTTCAATCTCGTGTCGCTGTAGTAATGTCTGCATTAATTGTTGCATAATATTTAACTGTTAATAATGCTTTATTAGACGAAAAAAAAAATGATGAACACGCGTGACTGACACTATAACATAGAAGAGTTTATTAAAAAATATGCACACATAACTTTATCTTACTATGTAATATCAAAACTGAATCTAAAAGTAAGGATAAATATAAAATCAATTAGGAAAAGAAATGTGTTAATAGAAGAATAATTTATTAGATATAATTGTAAAAAGAAAAAAAACGACCAAGTGCGAGTCGAAATCGCGCATGAATGGTTCCGTACCGAAAAATAATCACGTTTGTTGTATGAGAGCCCCCTTAAATGATTGTTTTATTCTGGTTTTTACTATTTGTTGTTGAAGCAACAATAGAAAAGCGTTATCTGTTAAAATTTCAACCGTCTAACTTTCATAGTTCAGAGATACAGCCTGGTGACAGACAGACAGTATCTTAGTAATAGGGTTGCCGTTTTACCCTTTTAGTATGGAACCCTAAAAATAATAAAACTAAGCTATTAGCAACGTCATGCTACAGAGCGGGGAGCGGACTAAATAAAAGTTGAATTCAACACAATTTAAAAAGTGAAACCAGCTGTACTGATATTATAAGTAATAAGAAATACACGTACTTATTAAATTTTAATGATCTCAAAGTGTAGGTACTACATATATAGAATAGAATGCCTCTTTGGCATCAAGTCCGCCATTTGTCTATTTCACTAAGCAATTAAGATTAAATAAATAAATATATACATATATTTAAACTGTAACACTTTAGAGACAAAGTATGATAGAAATGACATCTCCATACAGAATCCCCACGGCGCTACCTGGAGAGCGACGTGAACATCCACTACCGATGTCCTGTGAGACACGACCCTCTGCCGTTGGTGCCAGAGCGCGAGCTGGCGCGGCAGCAGGCGGAACATATGAAGAAACTATATCGGGAACAAAAACGAAACAAGTACTTACAGGTATGTTATGAAACTATAGTAACACTCTTATTGCACACATATTGAAATCATTTGAATATCCGCTAACGATATCCGGTGTGGTAGGTGCACTTATAAAGGGTGATGGTAGTACAAAAACAATAATGATGGTGGAAGGAATTTTTAAAATAAAACAAATACCAATATTTGTTCTTTAATTCAAAAATTCCTTTGCCTCTCCTTGACTGTGCTGACTGTTTTAGAACGTAAGCTGTTAAACTAAAGACGGAAAAGTAGACAGTAAACGAAAATAAATACATATTATTTTCTTTTCTGGTTGTGTCTAATATTCAATTACCGATAATCACACTTTTATGTTTATTATATTTATAATATTGCTTAAACTAATTATGAAAACAATAATTTTATGCTCGGTGTCACGTGACTGCAAACAGCGCGTGACGTCACACCCTTCTTACTCATATCAGAACTTAGAGAACTAAACCTTAAGCATATATAGAAAGACATTCCTTTTTATATGATTTTCTTTAAATATTTTATTTAATTAATGTCAAATAAAAATTATTAAAAAAATATATCTACACACACCCCTATTCAGAAGTGCCTATCTAAAATAAGCAGCGATGCAACTTCTTTCAACCCACAAATTCATGCTGTTCTGACATCGAATCCTTTTCCCTGAAAACTTGCTTCTGATTTATACATAATATTCTTTATAAATCATCCTTTTTCTACCATTCTAATATGATGGATATCATACAAAACATAACCACATATTCTTCATTCATAATGTTGGTAAATAATTAGGTTGGATTCAATATCAAATTTGAAAACTCTATAACTACTAATAGACAAGCTCCTCGCACGTGAGTATTACTAAAAACACGAACAACGGGTATTATTTACCTATCTGATATTTCAGCTCTAAATCCTTAACCCTTGTCGCTGTGCTTCAACCTCGTTGGTCAACCAACGAGGTTGAAGCACACACATTGAATCAAGGAGCGATTACGAAATTGCTGTTTATTAAAGAAAATTTTCCAAAAAAATAAAAAGTATATATTATTTTTTTTATCTACGATAAGTAAGCTAAAGTCTCGACCGATAAATCAATCTGCAGTGTTTTTAAAGAATCTTATTCAAGCTTAGTTTGCATCCGTTTAATTACAATTGCATATACGAAATTTTCCATTTTGCAATTAAGTGCGTTGTGTTACTCTTGATAAATCTTTGTCAGGTAGATAAGCAACTTATCATATCATTAAGAATTTTAGCAAACCGATATAAAATTTTCAAGACTAAGCTATAATAAATTCGTCTCTAATTCTGAATGATGGTCTAATTTACATTGCAGTCCATAGAAAGTAACATGCACATCTGATTACCGAGCGGCAAAACATTAATTGCAAACGTAATAATTTTAACATGCGATTTGTTCTCTCCTCAAATGTATGAATTCTTGCCGATAGAGTATCGATTAACAAGAAGAGCTCGAACGCAATATCGAATGCGATTAGCGTGTCAGTCAAACAGCAATTGTTTAATCCAGCTAAACAGAGCTTGGCACGCGAATGCAGTTTGATCAATACCAATACACGATGGCTATCCCACGATTGTTCTAAACTGTTGCTGTGATTACATATTTGCAGCAAGCATTTCTCACATGTCAGTGATTTTACTAACGCTATTTTGTAACTGTGATAAAAACACATGGTGCTCTTGCAAACAAAGTTAGATTTATCCAAAGCACTTTTCAGTATCAAACATTACCAAATTAGTGTAAGTCCATATTTAGACAGCAGACTTTATTTACCTGATAAAGTCAAATAAATTACCAATAATGTTGAGATATTTTTCTGATGGCTTCATTCTCATGAATAAATTTTTCAGTGTAAGAACTCTTTATGATATACAACGGAGAAAAAAGGGCCTTACAGTTTTTTAGGTAGTTATTCTCAGTACAAAATCTCCAGCTGTAGGTTTACAAACTGATGTCATAGTTTTTTAGTTGTCAAAATTGCTTGATAAAGTTTTTTTGATATATTAATAATAATATTACTAAGTGGAGTAATGTTTACACTGTAAAAAGATTAATATGAGGCTAGATCGCGGTAAAGTAGTAACTTTATCTATGTATTTGCGGTTTCATTGTCATGGCAAAATGGATCATTTTGTCTCCATTTCCGTTTCCATAGCGGTGCTGTGTTTACGTAAACAATTCGGTGCGCACGACAGACAGTCACGTAATATTGTGAATAAGTAAGGCATTTGGGCAGATATTTGTACATTGTCTTTGTGATGCGTGTTTATATTAGTTACACTTTCGCAATGTGGAAGTGAGTCAACCATATCTGATTTAAGTAAAGTGGTACAAATTTGAGTAAGCCCATTATGAATTATTTTTTTTAACAATACCAATATACCCCACACCCGGCCGTATAGCCTGTGCGTTACGAAATGAAATTATATTCAATTTAAAACGTTATTTTTATTTATTTTGGATTTTAAAAATATCAGAAAAAACGAATGCGGCTGATCCCCATGGATTTTTTTATCTCCGCAAACTTGCAAAATTGACACTCTCCAGATGCATTTGAATACGTTTCACTTACGCAGTAGAGACGGAAAATTTTCTCCAATTGGAAATTTAATATTTTCACCTCGTTCACTCGACGGCGGAGGTGAAATTGCCCACAAATTAGCTGACAGCCGTGCGCGTAACGCAAGCCCTAATAGAGAAATCGTAATTTACTCAACGATGTTGTAGAACCTCGTTGAACTTTTTCAAAACGAATCGTTCCTAATATGATAAAAAATTATACTTTTATTTTTACTTCATTAAAAAATAATAACAAATAAACTAATGAAAATTACAAAATCAATCGATTTGATCTCTCCAGTCTAAGTAATACTCTCTAAAAAATACAACCGGAAAGAGATATTATTAAGATTATAGAAAACATTGGAATTCCTATTAAAAAAAAACTGATTTATTCTAAATCATCACACAAATATTACGTTTGTACTACGGCATGAATACCTATATATAAATAATTACTTCATTTCATAGTCATTTACAATAATTATCATAATCGAATTCCGATGTAAAAATTACATCAATAATGACCGAATTACAAAAACACGAATCGACAAAAAATCCGTAAACTATCGCGTCGACCTTGCTCTCGCGCATACCATCATACATACCTCGCGAAACGTGAATAACAAACACAAAAGTCCGTTAACAAAATGACCGATGAATTACCATACCTACTTTTGCAGTTAATATGTGATTGTCAACCGAAATGTGACCATAATATCTCGTCAATAAAGTATAGATAATAATAATGAAATTGCACATGGATATTGTATACGAGCTTGTGGTTCACGCGTGCTGGGTAACAAAACAGAACGCTACAGTCTCGTCGATGAAGACGCGTGCACGAGGAACGATCATGATAGCATTGTGTTAGTGCGTGAAAATCGTTGTGCGAAACCATAGAAATGTATTGAATCATAAATGAATGATTAGAAATCTGTGAAAGCTGTCATTTCTATTTAATAAGTTCTTACGATTCAATCGAACGTTTGGTAAGAAATTAAATTTATAACAGAACTCATTTTACCGGTCCTGGTAGTGATAGGTAGCAAATTAAATTATAAACTTTTTAAATTGTATGAAAAATTACAGGAAAATGAAATACACCCAGCTGACATAGAAGCGTTTGATGCGTCGATGAAGGTGAAACATAATAGATGTGTGACTGACAATGTGATTCTAATTCTTGTTTGATTTTTCATCGTTTGATTTATTTTCAAAACACCATGCTATTAACATATTTTTGGCTCGAGACCATGAAGAAATAACTTTCGTTACACAATTTTCTGTAGCAATTTCCATAATCGATGATTTTGAAGCGTTTGCTTGAAATATAAAATTACTTGTGTATAGGGATTTAAAGAAAGTAGTTTTAATTACCGTATTATATTGTTTACTTATCAGATTCGCATGGTATTTAAAATGGAGTAATCGCTTTATCACCTTACAAAGATATTTATGCGCAGTGTTGTTTATACAAAAACTAGAGAAATATAGATTTCATATCTTCTTACTTAGGAACTACAAGATATGCAAAATAGACGTCATCAAGATAACTTTACGCCATCTCAAAAGAATATACTACCATTGAACCGGTATGATGAAGCAGAAAGAGTCGTCGCCAGAGCTCTATACGCTTTCAACGGACAAACCAATAGGGAGCTGAGTTTCAGGAAAGGAGATCTGATCCACGTCAGAAGACAAATAGACGCTAATTGGTATGAAGGTGAAATACACGGGAGAATAGGACTCTTTCCTTACAATTATGTTGAGGTATGTATCAAATAGTTATAATAATTGTTGAAATCATGTAAATACTTACTAATCTATTGGATTTATAAGCAATTAAAATTTTATAAGGCGTTCAGCCTTTCTTAAAGAGTACCATGATAACAGGTTTTATTAGTTATTACACGACACATTTTCACCATTCTGTGTTTTGTTTTTCTTGTTAATTTTCTTTGCAGATTTTGATCTGAGTTATTTTGTTTCGTCTTTACTTCAGATAATGAAAGGTGAAGTAGCGCATTCTCCTAAGAAGCCAGCAGTGATAGAAGGCAGAGCGAAGGCGAAATTTGACTTCACCGCACAAACGAATTTAGAGTTACCACTCAAGAAGGGAGAAGTGGTAGTATTGACGAGACGAATCGACCACAATTGGTGGGAGGGACGCAACGGCAGCAAAACAGGCATCTTCCCGGACAGTTACGTCACAGTCCTACAGGAACCTAGCCAAAGCATACCAGGTGGGACTTGATACACAAATATTTTCATATAATAGCATTACACGGCAAACTGTACAGAATATTATACAAAATATTCACGGTCTCAATTTGGTTTTAAACCTTAATGCATAGCGATGGATTTCAAAATCACTGCGGAAATTTGTCATATTGTTCATATTGACCTAATATACTGCTATATAAAACTATGTAACTCCCATTGACTTTGAATTTTGACCTGAAAATCAGAAACTTCTTGAAACGAATGACTAAGTAGAACATTAAACTACTATAATAACAATAAACGCATTTAATGATAGTAAAAAAATCACACATTTCTATTGTATCGTGTTCAATTACTGTGAAATAATAAGTATGAATTAAATGAGTAACAACAAACAATTACAAAGTGTTCCGTTCAGTTCGTACCACGTGTCGTGCGGATAATTAACTTTGACTGGACACGATATAAATGATCACGTACTTAAGTAGATATAACAACTCGTCTATGTATATAAAGCAAATTAACAATATCGTATTACTATTTTTATTCCATGAACGGCTGGAACAATTTCATAATTTCTGGTTTGGAGAATTAAACCCACCGGTAATAGCAAAACTATAAAACAATTAGAAATTTTAATTTTACGTTCGGCGTGTTAGTTTAAATATAACTGTAACATTTACGGTTAGGTCCATGAAAAGTTAATCAAATAAATAGAATTAAACGTTTTTAATTCTAAATAAATTGAAAGATATCTTAATAAATAAAATTAAGAAATAAAATGACCCACCTTTTTAATTTGGTCACATTTTATCAGCATTTGTACCCAAAGGGTAAGATGGTAACCCTCAATACTGAGACTTCGCTGTCTGTCTGTCACCAGGCTATATCTCCGTAATAGTTAGACAGTTGATGTATTTCTGTGGTCGCTTCAAGAACAAATACAAAAACCAGAATAAAATATTTAAATATTTTTTGCACGTTTCCAGTACAGAACCCTTCGTGCGCGAGTCCAAATCGCACTTAGTCGGTTTTTTATGTTTAAATATACTGTTTTATATTTTATAGAGTCTCAATCAAGTATTAATACTGAAAAACCAGTTGCATCCCCCGCTGCCCACGGTCTTCTAAACGGTACTGCCAAGAGGAGTATGGGTGCGCACAGTTATATGCCACAACCAAACAACCCCGCGCTATCTAACGCGCCGCCAGCCACACAACCCCTACCAGGTACTTTATAAATTAAATTTTATTCCCTTAACACAAAACCTACTAACTAAATAAATTGTAACATCTTAAAATACCTACGGAAAAATAAAGTTTTCTTCAAATTTTCCACCAAATTTTCTTTATCTTGAGACGCTGCGATATGAAGGTACCTGTAAGGTCAAACAATAACGGCTTTGGAATATGTATATTTATCGTTATAATAAAAAAAGTGTAACAAAATATACAAGAACTATATAATTTTTATGTATAAAAATATAAAATACTTTAATTCGTTCATGACTTATTGCAATAATTTAGATACATAGAATAAAAACAACTTTCTTACACCTTCAGCGAAGTTTTACTTTCACTTATTTGTACTGTTATAAAATCTATTTATATTAAACAACTTTTAACCAATAACGATCCCGATTTCAAAGCGCAAGGAAAGTACATAGTTGATTATTTAAATTTGTACAACGTAATATAAAACTAAGATTATCAATTTTCATATTTATGCAAAAGATACACTATTTTAATTTATAATAAAAAAAAATGTCGTCATTCCCTTTTCAAATTGAAATAGATTTCAAAAGTTACCAATCTTTGTTTTACAGGTTACGTAGCAAAACCTGCGCAAGCGACGCTCACTCCTTCCGAGAGGGGTTACGGTCCACCGAGCGGAGCCGGAGTAGATCTCAACAATACAGAACCTTTATACGTGGACACTAACGCCGAGGCTGTACCGTAAGCTCTAATTTCTTATTAATCCAGCTGTTTTACCACGATTTAGCTTAAATGATTACTTATGTCACATATAATGTAGCTACCCGTTTTTTAGTTTCTTGTTTTAGGGTACACATTTTTTCTATTGCTTAATGTCTCTTATAAATAATGTTTTTAATTGAACTAAAAAGGGTGGTTATGGTGATTTTTTAAGCATTTTTCATTAAGATTTTCATAAATAATTTAACAGTTTATCATGGTAAATGCAAAATTGATCAATATAATTAATTACATTAATACTATTATTATTGGTTATTGATACAAGTGTAAATCTCGGAATCAAAAAACCGAAGTATATAAGTTGGGACATTTTAGCTTATGTAACAACATATTATTATATGTTCTTGCTAATTTTACAACATGTAAGTAATTTATATCCAAGAAACATAGGCACCAAATGAACTTGTGTTTTATTTACGTGTCAGATACCGTGCAATGTACAAGTACCGGCCGCAGAACCCCGACGAGCTGGAGTTGAGCGAGGGCGACACCGTGTACGTGCTGGAGAAGTGCGACGACGGCTGGTACGTCGGCTCCAGCCAACGCACCGGCCGGTTCGGGACCTTCCCAGGTACTAGCTATAATCACTGCTATAATATAGCTACTTTTTTTTAAATGTGGACTTGTTCCGTTATACACGGAAATTTTGTCAGCATCCCGTAGTGAGAGAGACACGTGACTCAAGAGACTGCACGGTAGATATAATTAATCAATTCTTCATTGAGATTATTCTTTCTCTACTATAAAAAACAACACAAGATCAAATATCACTATATATAGCTACTTTTTTTTCAATATGGACTTGTTCCGTTTTACACGGAAATTTTGTCAACATCCCGTAGTGAGAGAGACACAAACATTTAAAATAAGGAACTGTCATCTCTTAGAAACGTCTGACAGAAGGTAATCTAGTCTATGTACTTTATTTTTCATACCTACGCTCGGCGGTCGCGCTAAGGTTGTCAACTTTGGCTTACGCACAAAAAACTATCGTATTAGTGGCACTCGTATTTATTTTTGAGAATGAAACACAAAGAAATATAAACTAATGTTAATTAAAATATTTTTATTGTAAACATATTTTTTCACAAAGTTGTAACAGAAAATATGTTGCTAGAATTTCGGTATTGACGAAATGACACACAAAAAGATATATTTCTATCCATGTAATATCCTTATATATATATATTATAGAGGTTCATGCAAGTAACTACCTACTTACCTCTCTAAAATAACTTAAAAATAGCTTAAAAACGATAATGCACCATTTAATGTTGAACTTAAATAACCGTCCACCACAATAGTTGTAATAACGTTTTTGTATCGTTTAATTTCGTTAAAAAGTTCACAAACGCATGTATAAAGCCAACGGCATTTGCGCTCGCACTAGTTCGAAACGGACCAAGACATTGTATCCGTGAGCGTTGTCTATGTGTGCGATGCTTGATCGTACTTTGTATGTAGATTTTCTTCTGTTATATATATTCTGTGGTCAAACTAAATACGCACTCATACATATCACACAGACTTATCAAGCAATATATAAGTTACAGGCTATTCAATTGTACCATTTTTTAATAAAGCGTCATTTATTTCGTATTAAGTACTAAAAATTACGTACGTAAAATTGGTTCAGTAGTTTAGACGTAGAAAAGTAGCTAACACAAACACACGCAACACAAAGTTACTCTAAAGAAGAAGCTCGACGACTGCGCTGTCACCTCGTTAGTCAAAAATCAAAGTCAAAGTCAAAATTATCTTTATTGAAATAGACTTCTTAAAAGTACTTTTGAATCGTCCAACATTTTTTTCCCTACCACTCGTTCAGGACGTCTTTTGGCTGATAAGAAGAACGAGCAAGAAACTCACCAGCTCTAATAAGAGTAATGACATTTACAAAAACCATGTCATTACCAGATCAATACATTATAAACAAACATAGAAAAAAAAAAAAAAAAAAAAAAATATGGTCTTATAATGATAACATAATCATTTAATAATAATGGAAACAATATAATGAGTTTAGAATCACCTATATATAAGGCTGCGTTTTATTTCATTAAGGTCTATGCCGTGAAAATGCTGAGCCCGATGTCGATTTTGAGGCTGTTTTCAACACACAGCATACCAGGCTGATGTGGTTATCCAATAGTCAAAGGATATCCTTGGGAGCAATATCCCCACTATTCCCTTAACAATTAACAGTAGAAATGACTCCTAGTGCAATTAGTGGACGTAGGCCACTGCAAATGCAATCTCGGGCCACCGTCTAATAAGCCGTTTTTACTCATAATATGTCATTTTATTCTATATTAAAACCAATCAATACAGTAAAGTTAAAAATCTTTATTTTTTCAATTATGTCATCGTTTTTTCTTCTATCGTTTTTGACCTCCGTAGCCGAGTGGTTCGCACGCCGGTTTCGAGGTGTTGCCATCTATTTCATTTCGAGGTGTTACATCCCGGTCGGGTCAATGTAGAATAAGAACTTTTCTTTATTTTCTTGAGTCTGGGTGTTGAGTTACCTCCATTGTCTCAGGTATTCATAGTATGGGGGCTTTAGCTACTCATCTTGGAATCTGAGCAATAAATAAATTAATAAATATTAGAGAACATCGCATATATTGCTCAGATTCCAAGATGAGTACCTAAAGCCCCCGCCCGTATTATGGAGTATCTGAAATAATGATTACACTAATTTTAAAACTGAAATAGTAAACGTCATTCTGTATTTTTCATTTGTTTATAGGTAATTACGTTGAGCGCATCTGATAGCGCGAGACATCGCTGCTGCGGCGTCTGCGCCGCGCAACCTTTTGCGCGCGCCGGCATCATTAAATAAAACGCACACGCCATTCAAAAAACAACCTTAACGTCGGCGCAAAAGGACAATGATAAACTTAACGAAATCACCTTTGATTAATAATTGAAAGCGTAATCGCGTTATGATGCATTGTTACCCGAGAAGCGTGCACTACATGTGAATATTATGCGGCAACCATAGACTAATTTGTTTAAAAAGGTTCGAAATCTACTCTATAAAGATTATTCTCGATTTTAAACGAATTATTCTGCGGAAAAATGATACCGTTAAAAACCTTGAGTAGCTAGTATTGATCGTGGAACACTTTGCCTTAGCATTGAAGGCTGAAAATGCATGGAGGTGAAATATGAGGGAAATACCAAACAATACCATGACCTTTTTCAGAATTGTACAAATAATATTCGACACAATGTTATTAATAAACACTTTTTCATTTTATTACAAAGATATTTTCATATCTTTATTTCTAATCAAAGTCTAACATAATAATTCATGTCAGTGTTATAATCCAAAGTTGTTTTATGCGTCCCAAAGAATTATGTTTATCGGTTAATAATTTTAATGTATAATTGTATAAAAAAAATAATAAAAATACTTATATACCTGTACAATTGTTTAGTATAGTTATTTATTTAAACGTAGGAGTGAGATAGAGCTCTTCTTTTAAAAGTACATTTTTAAAAGTACTGAGCTGGCACATGGATTACTAATGTCATTATTAACAATTTTGTATCGTACATTACCTACATTTGTGAGTCAAACATCGGCAAAGGTCAAACTTTGAAATTATAACAATTGGTGTATATTGACGTCAGCAAAGTTTCGACTGTTTGTAATGATCGTTATATTACAAACTGAATAATAAAAAGTGAAAGATGCTCTCGAATATTTAACTACAACATATAAATGTAATTAACTATAAACTACTCTATACATATGTTACCTTCAAAACTGAAAATTTTTATACAACTACATTCTTTTCTGTATAAGAATCTAAGCACTTTTTATTATTCAAATTAAAAAATAACTCTGATGAATAATTACTGAGTATAAGTATTAGTTACCATATTAACATAATTGTAATATTCATAATAATATTGTAATACTCAGACAACCATTCAATGTATAATGTATAGGGCGAGTATTTTGGCAACGTTGACAATACAATACTGTATGCTTATTTAAGATTAAATTATTAAAGGAGATAGTATTTTATGTAAAATGGCGGTCTAAATATATTTATATTTATGATCATGGGTTTGTATTTCATGAAGCTAGAATGATTAAGAACAGGACACTGTTAGATCTGTATAAACCTTATAATTATATATAAAGTGGTATATTTTTATTTTATTTTATGGCTTCTTTTTATATTCAAGTATCATTTCGTAAAAAGGTCCTGTAACATGTCATATCATACATAAAATTGTTTAAGTATCTAGTCATGGACAAAAATATAATTTTTCATATTGTTGCAATATTCTCATTTTCATAATAATTTATACAAATATCAGTGTTATTATTATTATACAATTTATAATAAGTTAAATATTATATGCATGCATTGGCTTTATAGAAAATGTATTATACATTGTGTTATTTCACCAAAGTGTTTACAACCCTCGCCCTATTTAATCTTGTTTTGTGTATAATGATAAAGCTTTCTTATTTTTTTTAACCCATTGTATTGTTGTATTTACTTTTGTTAATTTATTTTTAATTATAGCACAAATGTTTTATTATTTAATTTTTTTGTTGACACCTCAACATACATTAACTGCTATTGTTCAAACATCATCACATCTAATAAAATAATCTTTCTATTTATATGATGTTTCATTTGTGTTATCGGAACTCCTAATAAATATTTTATAAATATTTTTCTTAATAAAGTCAGAATGGATATAAATTTGTAGGTACTCATATTATAGACATTATATTCCAATGAATTTTCTTAGTCTTAATTCTTCGTTTAAAGCTAAAGGCTGCTTCTCATAACAGGCCCTTGAACTCATACTATATAGCCCACGAAAGGAATTCTAAATTTAAGTAAATAAAATAATTAATGACAGAAAATAAAAATTATAAAAAAGGGATCTAATATTTTGCTTGAATAGCTTATTTTTTAATTAGCGGTCACGTACCTACAGTGGTAAATCGTACCTGTAGAAAATTTTGTTCATATCTCAAAAAAATCCATAAATATATTTTGACATCATCCGCATCGTGATGAAAGTCTTGTCTTTATCATAATTCTAGGTAGAACATATCCGTAAAACTAGTATAGAACCCCGTGGCTAACTGCGCGGTGGGCTCCCGAAGGCCTACCCACAAAAATCCCCTACGGTGTACCCTCCTCTGGGGATGAGACCCGGGATGCCGTGACCGAGTCGCCGGGATGCTCACCCCCCACATAATTATATCCCTAGAGATAGAGTTTTATCATATTGCGACATCTTTAATACTTTCGTAATGAATTGTTCTTAAAAATTCAATTTATTGAACATAGGATTAAAATCCGCGTGTGCAACTGTGTGTATGATATTCTGCATGAAATATATATATTTTTGGTGAGTAACCTAATAACGGAACTTTTCATATTGTTACCTAGCAACGAGTGGTTGCTACAAAATATATCTATGGTTGCTAAGCAATGAAAATATCAACAAATACTAACGTCATTACGTGCAATATTTTTCATGCAGGTCGTACATTTTATATATGATATTTTGTGATTAAAGTTATAATTTTGCAATATATAGATAAAACGTTCAACGATTTAATTACCCAGGAACATAGCTTATGAGATTTCAAAAGATTTAATAAGTGACCATGTCAGAAGATTGGAAAGAAATATTAAGTTTCTCTCAAAGAGACTTAAAAGAAGCAGATAAAGAAAAACTGTGTGAAAATTTGTCGTGGATGGAAGCAGATGATATAGAATTAAACTTTTCTGATTTGAAAATACTATTCCGACTTGCACAAGACATTTTGAAATATAAGAGTGATCAGGTAAGTTATACACAATTAATATTATCACATCATCGTATTAATGTCCCTACTACTGGGGCTCGGGGCTTCCCCATTGGTGCAATCAAATCAAATAGGGAGAATGGGCCATGATGCACCACACGCTCCCAGTGCGTGTCGGTGGTGTTCACGAATACAAATGCAGCTGGGACCAACGGCTTAACGTGCCCTTCAAAGCACGGGGGAGTTCGAGATAATAAATTCTTAAAGCACCATCCTATGTCCGACACTTGCAAAAGTAGCTTAACAATCGTGTCGCAGAGCAAACGCACTAACTACTGCGCCAACGAGCTGCTTAAACTAATATTAAAAAGAGAAAAGATATGATTGTTTTTTTGGTTGCATCAAATAAGAAAAGAAAGAAAAATAGTATAATTTTAGCACATATACACAAAACATTACGCTCGACTTAATCGTAATCATAATATGTATCATAATTCTTTCACATATGAAAAACTACATTATAGGTGTGTAAAATCGCGGGAAAACAGCTAATGCAATATAATTAGATTAATTTACGGTAAAATTAAGTAAACAAATAAGACATGGTGAAAAATCTTTTTTTTAAAGGTTAATAACTTACAAGGAAAAATCGAAATAAGCCAGAAGAAATTGAAGAAATTAAGATCAAAAGGACAGTATACAGGTAGTTACTAATTTGCAGATTTGATTTCATTAATGTAGACAAATATTACTTCTTTGTAATTATTTCCACTTCAGAATCGCCAGTCAAAGGCTCCGATAGTGTTCTAGAGACAATAAATCATCAAGAAGAAGTTATCAAAGCAAACAAAGAAATCTTAGAACAGCTATACGCAGATATAGCAGAATTAGAAGGCAAGAAAAATAAATTACAAGAAAAAAAGGATAACGTTGATGTAGATAGCGATTCTAGTCGAGATGTTCTTTCTCAACTAAATGAAGTAGTGCAACTTGAAAATGAACTGGCCATCAAAAATAAACACATTCGAAAATTACTTTCAGATGTGAAAGTTGGTATAATTTCATAATAATTTGTTTTCGTTTATTCATTATGTCCACTATAAATAAACAGTCTTTAAATTATAGATATTGGAAGAAGAAAATGTAAAATTAAAAGAGAAACTGACTATCATCAAAGACAAATTGAATGAAGCAACAACGCTCATTGAAAACCTAACAGAACAGCTATTTACTATAAATAATGAAAATGCTCAGTTGAAAGGTAAAATATAGAGTGCTTATTTGTTTTGGTTTTGGTTGTGATAGATTCTATTTAGGTACTCGCTCATATATCTGGAATACAGCACAAAGCAAGCAATGCAGTACTGCTATACTTAGGTAATTCTATTTAATCAAGAATAAGTTTTTACAAACTTATTCTTGATTAAATACTTGTTATAATACGTTATTTTATAGATTATATCTAAAAATATCAAGATCAGAGGTATCCAAATGTTACAATAAATATTTAAATATAGAACTGTAGTTGTGTATATGTGCTTTTCTTACCTAAATTACAGACGCTCTGGGAAAATCAGAAGAAATTAAATCTCAATTATCTTTCGAAATAGAAACGTTACAAAAAGAGTTATCCCAAAAAGATATTTATAAAGACAGCATCTATGAGGAAATAAAATTGAAAGTTCAACATTGGAAGGTGGCATTATACATTATAAATGTTTATTATGTTTATTGAACCTAATGCAAATTTAAGTAAATGTATATAATAATTAAACTTTTACAGAATATAGCCAAATCTAAAAAAACTGAAATAGAGTCATTAGCTAATGAAAATACTAAGTTAAAAGAAAATCTAATACGCGCGTCACAGTCACTATCATCACCAAAAGTAAGTAATCATAAATATTTTACAAAACCACACAATAGTAACCTCAATAAGTAAGTATATAACTTCTTCTCTATCGTTGCCTCACTG